TCCCGGATCTCTCTCCCATTCCCGGATCTCTCTCCCATTCCCGGATCTCTCTCCCATTCCCAGATCTCTCTCCCATCCCAGATCTCTCTCCCATCCCGGATCTCCCATTCCCGGATCTCTCTCCCATCCCGGATCTCTCTCTGCCATCCCGGATCTCTCTCCCATCCCGGATCTCCCATTCCCGGATCTCTCTCCCATTCCCGGATCTCTCTCCCATCCCGGTCCCCTCAGGCGCTCCCGCCCGCTCCTCAGCGCCCCCCCGCGGCCGTGTTGCGCGGCGCCGCCCCGGCGGTGACGTCAGGCCGGGTGAAGATGGCGGCGGGCGCGGGTCGGCAGCGCTGCCCGCCCTGAGGCCGGAGCCGCCACCATGAGCGGCTCGGCGGACGCCGCGAAGGAGAAGCTGCTGTGGAACGTGAAGAAGGAGGTGAGGGCGGGGGCGGTTCGGGGCTGCGCGGAGGGTCCCTGCAGGGACCAGCCTCGGTGTCCGGGCGGGCGGCCGCGACCGGTCCCCGCGGGAGGCGGTGGGGTCCGTGCGACCCTTCCCGGGCTGTCACCGGGCTGTCACCGGGCTGTCACCGGGCTGTCGGCGGCTCTGGCACCTGGGCAGGGGAGCTCGGGTGGCGGCTCCAGCACACCGTGTGGGGGACCCGGCCGGGCCGGGCCGGGTGTGCTCAGGAACGGGGGACGGTCACATCGCGTTTGGGCTCCCTCGAGAGGTGCCCTCACGGGGTGCTCGGCAGGACGGACGGACAGACAGAGCTCCTGCGATGGCTCCGGGCGGGAGCAGCCCCTGCTGAGGGTCCCTGCCGAGGGGCTGCGGGAGGAGGTGCCTGTGCTGGGCACACTCCTGGGACCGCGGGCACGGCTGTTCAGCTGGGACTCCCCGGGGAGAGCGGCCCCTCCCCGGTGCTCCCGGGAACCGTCCCCTGTGGCTCTGACCGTGTCACAGCGGTGTGTGGCTGCCTGTTCTTGCACAGCAGTGAGGTGGAGGTGTGATGTTTGTCCGTCACGGCGATAGCAAGTATTTTGAACAGGTACCTGCCCTCCTGCTCCTTCCCCTCCCCGGGCACTGGGGAGACAGCAGGGGAGCAGGATCCATCAAAGCTCAGCTGAAAAGTTGTTGCTATGGGCGAGGTTCCCGAGCCCGACTGCGGTGTCCTGATATTCGTTAGTGTTGAAACCAGAACACATCAGGTGTCTCAGTCAGCGTGGGGAGAGTGGAAGGGTAGAGCAGGGACAGGCATGTATGATATGTATGCAGAGCAGCAGGACCATGTCCTGGACTGACCCAGCCAGCCCCTGGATGGGGGCTGCCTGGTGGTACCTGCTAAATGCAGCCAGGAATCTGCCACTTGGATTAGAAATTTTAGCTTAAACTACGACTTTTGAGCCAATACAGTGTAAGGTTTTATTTAGAAGTGAGTGTGCTTGCTCTCCTGGGTAATGTTTAAATATATAAATAAACCAGAAAAATGTTTTCCAAATCTGAAAATTACAATCTTGTGCTAATGTACGAAATGGAAAGTGAAGTGGATTTTTGAGATCCAAGCCAGCTCGAGCTGAGAACAAGTGGTATGTAATTAAAAAATCTGAAGCTAATTTGTTTTTAAAGTCTCTAAAATGTTTTTAATTGGACCTTGGGTTTTAAATTACTTGAATAATGCTTGAAAGTGTTATTTGTACCTTCTGTGTCATCTGCTTTTTTGTTTTGTCATTGATCTGTTTTTTCCATCTCCAGATCCTTACAAATGCTCTTTTAGAACACGTATAGTGGCTTGGCTTTTTGGAGTTGGCCAGAGCTTTCCAGCTTTGGTGTTTGTAAGCAGGTTGTTTGTAAGCAGGTTGAGGTAACACTCCTCACCTGTGCCCTCACAACGTGTGGCCCCTGTCTGTGCTCACAGTAACAAAATGGGCTCAGAAGGCAGTTGGAGACACTGAGATGGAGATTTTATTTGTCTTAAGTAATCAATTGATGGAGGCAGGAATTGAACACAAGTCACTTGTAACCACCCATCAGATGATGCTGCCCTTAATGACCGTAATTAACTTTTTCTGATAGAATTTTCAGCCTCATTTTTTATGCTGTGTGACTTTTCACACAGCCACTTCTGCATACTGTGTGCTGGTGGGCTTGCTGGGAAAACCTGACTCATCCATGGCCATTCTCAGAGCCATCGTTCCCTTCCCTTGGCCTTTAAATCCAGGCTCTACTTCCCATGAAATTATATTCCCATAACCTCAATATCCAGAGGAGTTCAGAGGCCACAGCTTCTTTCTGTGTGCTGTTCCACCAAGCCCGTTAAGATTCAGTTGTCTTTGCAAAATATGTAACTGTCATCTCCAAAGTCACTCAGTGCAAAGTGTTCAGTTTGTTTTGCCTCACCCTCAGCTAAAACTTCGGCATTTTTCCTTTGGGAAATTTAATGCTGTTTGCTTTTCCTCAGATGGACTTTCAGTTCCCACTGGTAGGGAATGTATTTTGTTGGCTCTCACAGAAAAGAAGACATGTAATGTGTTTTGAAAATGTAACTCTGCTGGGATTCATGCTGAGGCTGCTTGGAAGTTCACGTTTCAAACATTTCTCTCTCTCTGCAGGAAAATCTGTTGTGACAAGCAGAGTCATAAAATAGGCTTTTCTCTGGCCATTTCCTTCTGCCTCCTGAAATGGAGGGTTTTGACATTTCTGGATTTAAACACAGCACTTTCTAGCTGTGAAACAAACAGGATAACAATAACCTTAGCAGTTCCTCGCTGAAAGATTTCAGAGTGCTTCAGAAACAAAATGTCTCAACGTGCAACTGAAGTGCAGCCACTTCTGAGCAGAAATACAGTAGTTATTGAACAGCTTCTCTTCGCACCAGCCAGTCCTTCCTCAGCAGTAAGGAGTCAGTGCAGCAGCGCTATTGATAAAGGAGATGAGCAGTAGCTGTACAAGCTGAAGAAGGCACAGGTGCTGGACATGAAGTTTTCCCCTTTGAGGAGAAAACACTGTGGGCTTTAGCTGTGGTCCTGGTTATTCTGGTACTTTATGAGCACTATTCTTTGCCATTTATAAAGCTTCCTTGTAACAAAAATTTAAAAATGAAACATAAAGGCATTTCTCTTTTGTACTTTTTTTGGTGAAACTTACTAAATAATCCATGTATTATGATGTAGGTCTGGTGTTTGCTTCTGAAAGTTTTGGCCATTGTAGGATGTGGGAGAAGGTCAGAGCAGTGATCCATGAAAACATGGTGCAAAAGCTGAGCAGCTTGTCTTCAGGGAGCTTGCTGTGCTTTACCTGGATAATGCTGCCACCAGGACCTTCCTTGCTCCTCAAGTGCTGAGATCTGTACTTGGGTGGGCAGAGCTCTCCCTGCTCGGCAGTGGCTGGCAGGTGTGGTGCCCATGAAGTACCATCTCCAGGGAGAGCAGGGTGTCACTGAGGCTGATGTGGTTCCCTGTTGCTGCCTCTGGCTCACGGACAGACTGACCTGCAGGTGCTGCCTCTGTGCTTGTGCCACCTGGCAGGTGCAGGTGACAGCCTGGTTATGGTGTGTGGCTCCTGTACTGACTTGCAGGGGAGGCACAGGGAACAGGAGGGGTGTTTCTAGGGCAGTTGAGGGAGCTGGTGTCACACCTCAGCCCAGGCTCTCCCTCTCCAGGTTCTGGGAGCAGCTCTGGCCCAGCTGGAGGCTGCAGCCCCCCCTGCATCCCTTGCACCAGCAGCAGGATTCCCTTACCTGCGCGGGTGGATGGGTGCCTGGGGGGGCAGTGGTGATGCTTCTGTTAATGAGATTAATTTGCAGCTTGGTCAGGTCTGCTGGTAACTGCCAGTGGGTGTGAGCGGAGAACAGAGGCACAGCAGTCCCTACAAAGCCAGGCAAAATTGCAAGGGAATAAAAGAAAAAAAAAAAAAAGGCTTGTGTTCCATTTGATCAGAAACATTTGCTTTAGCTCCTTGCCTGGAGCATCCATGAATTACGTGGCAGTGAGGGATGACGTGGGATTGAAGAACACTGCATTCCAGCTTTTGAATCTTCTCATCTCCTGTCTATGCCTTGAAAATGTTTTCTAATAACATTCACTCACTCTCCAGAAAATGCACGGAGCTTGCTTGGATGTGGTGGCAGTTGGGAACACACCAAGTGCCTGCTCTGTGCTCTCAGCTCTGGAGTCTTGAGTTTGACGTCTGCTGGGAGGCACTGGATGGTGCCTCTGAAAAACCATTTGCTTTCTCAGTTTTTATACACTTTAAAATTTTTGTTGACTGAGATGTAAATAACATACTGAGCTAATAAAACCCCGTGTCTGGAGTATGCTTGGGAAATGTGTGGTAGCAGGAAATTGGCTGCTGAGCACTGAGGTCCCGAGTTCTAACAACCGTGTCAGAAATGCTGCAGGAAAGAAACAAATTGCCTTGCTCAGAGTTTATATTGCCAGGCCTCAGGTGTGAGCAGCGAGCCAGGTTTTATAAAGTGCAAAACACTTGCTTTGAAGTCCTCAGCTATAAAACATGTTCTACTTTCAAAACCTCTTACTTGTTTGCTTTTTCCCCTCCAATGTTTTCTTTGCAACTCAGAGGGCTCCTGTTTGATAAGGAGCACAAATTCTGGAGGATCCACTTGATCCAGGATTTGGGGCAAGGCAAATGCCATGTGTTGAGAGGCTCGTGCAGCAAGTGCTGGAGCTGCAGCCTTCTGCCAGCCGGGCTGGGGGTGTACGAGTGGGCATGGAGGCCTCAACATGATTCCTGGGGGAAGGGATGCTTGGTTACAGCATCCAGAATTGGCCTGGCAGAGGAGGAGGGTGCCCCTCCAGACTGGAGAAAGCGTCCCCATAGGCAGCTGCAGAGCCCAGCTGTCAGTGGAGTGCTGCACCTGCACCTTCTGCTGCTCCAGCGCTGAGGGGGGAGGCTCCAGACCTTTGGACCTGTCAGTGCCCTGGAGGAGGGGGACCCAGCTAGCCCTAAATGTTGGAAGAAGGGAGTGTCTGGTTAAGTCTCCTGTCACGGTACCACTTACTTTCATATACTGAAAGTGAATTGGCATTTCTTTAGGCAGAGTGTCCTAACCCTGTAATTATAGCTCACAATTGAGAGAAGCCAAAAATGATGGTGGATTTGTATATGGAAAAGAGCAAGCCCTCTGTGGCCAGGAGGAAATGAGTGTCTGATAAATGAGTTGGTGGAGACAAATAGGTTTCGGCTGGTGTCAGGCTGAGGAAGCCTTTGGGGAGGAATAAGGTAGCAGATGAATGGAGAGTGAGTGCAGCATCTCACCAAGAGCCTCATTGTAAGAGTTGTCTCTTTCTCCCTTAATTTTTGAAAGTCAGTAATTTACACTGATTTCCCTCTGGAGCTTGGCACATCAGCCCTGGAACTGGAAAAGAACTTTGTTTTAAATGTTAAGAAGTGTGATAAATGTAATTTTATTTGCTGTAATTCTTAAATCGTGTCTTGAAGCAGAAACTGAAGGCACTGCCTTCTCTGTAGGTTCTGTAATAATTTTCTATAGTGTTTGGTGCAGCAGAGCTTTGAGGGCATAAGTTGTAATTGCTGTGGCATGTGAAGTCCCCAGGCAGGGGGAAGGTGGCCATAAACTCCTCTAGGGCTGTGTGCTTGTGTAGCTCAGGGATGTTTTGTGCTTGAAAAATTGCTGAAGGACACAAGTGGAGAGGGAACATGGCAACACATGATCTGGTTTCATGAGCATAGGAACTGTGTGCAGGAGGGCCAAGGGTGAATCATAAAGTTTTGCACAGCCCTCTGGAGCTTGTGCTGGAGCAGTTCTTCAGGGGGTATGCTGGGCACGCTGAAATAATTCAGCCTTTTGTGGGGGCACACCCCAAAGAGACCTGTCCTTGTTCTGCCAGAGGTTCCCTCATCCCATGGTAAGCTGCTTGGCTTTGTCTGCCTTTCCCTCCTTAAATCCATCCTTCCCTGCAAAATGTGACCTATGTGAGTGGTGAGTCTGTTTGTGATGGGGAAAAGGCAAGCAGTGGTTGAAAGCAACTCCCAAATGCTGTGCTGGTTTGTGCTGAGGTCGTACAATCATTTCTCTCTGCTCATTTCAGGTGAAGCAGATCATGGAAGAGGCTGTCACCCGGAAATTTGTCCATGAAGACAGCAGTCACATCATCGCCTTGTGTGGTAAATGTCACGTGGAAGAGCTAACACTACCTAACCTTACTTTTCCTCTAGAAATGTCTTTTCTCTGCTGTCAGAGGTAAATGCAGGGATTTAGACATTAGAAATCATGGTGTTCAGGCCCATGCCACCTTTTTATAATTGCTACATGTGTGTGTACATTAAAAATCATAAAGTAACTCCTACTAAAATTTATCTACTGCTCATTTGTACTGTACAGAGGAGAAAAAGTAACTGTGGGAAATGGTCCCAAGACAGGAGGAGGTGCAGGATCCCTGATCCAGTGCCCTTGCTGCAGATTGCCTGTGTGATCCAGAGAGCTCCCAGTGTGGTCTATCTGGTCCCTGCTCTTGAAATCCTGTTCTGGAAGCCATGCTTGGTGTAAGGCAGCTATTTCTGTTAGACTCTGCTTGGCCAAAATTAGGAATACTGTGAAGTCTTCTTCACATGTCTCTTCCTCCCACTGTGATTCTGGTTGGTTTTGTGTTCTGGATTCTTCAGCATCTGAAGAACTAATAACTCCATGAGCTGACTCATTATTGCCCAGCCCGCTGCTGCTTTGAATGTAGACCTTGAAGCAGGTGAAGCTGAATGTTCTGTTTTCTCTTTGGCTGACTGAATGGAGAAACCCCTTCCAGTAGATTTGGCTGACTGCTCCTGGCTGGGGCTCTCCTGTGTGTGCAGTTCTCTTCCCTCCCCCACTCCAGTTTCATGTGCCTCTTCAAGAGGTTTTTCCCTTCTATTTAAAATAAGATTGGCTCAGTACATGAGTCATTTTCAGTGAATCTTTGTTATAAATATAGAATTCTTGTGAATCATTTTACTCTCCTGCAAGGCTGAGTTTAGCAAGAGTCTCTTAAATACATGGTACTTGATTTTCAGGGTCTGTCTGCATCAGTAACTGAACATTTCCTAGCTGCCCTAGGTCCTAGGTGGCTGAAAGCAGTGCCAATGTTTTCACCCCTTGTGAGGAGTGCAGGGGGTTCTGTATTTGTTCTCAATCCAAAGTATAACCCCGTTAGATCCCGGGGGCTCTTCCATCCCCCTGATTTCTGGAAGGTGCAGCTCTGTGGTTTGGGCTCTGCGGCGTGGCTGGCGCGTGCCGTGGTGGGACACAAGTGCCACACTGCTTTGTGCTGGGGTTCTGGGGGGCAGGTTTCCCTGCAGGGGTGTGCTCGGTCGGGGGCAGTGACGCAGGTGTGTCCGTGGCATCCTCGGTGGCTGGCGCTGCTGGGAGAAGCTGGATGTGGATGTTTGCAGCCTGGGCTGTGTGGAGGCGTTTCCTTGGGAACGCAGCTGACATCCCTGACGTGGGGCCTTGCTCAGCTGAGCTGGCTCTGCGGCAGGGAGTGCTGAGCCCTCCTCCCTCGGCCCTCCCTCCACCAGCGTGCCCGAAGCTTCCATGGCTGGAGGTGTTCTCGCCAGGAACGCTGGCCCTTTCCAGCTTCTGCACTTCTGAGGGAAGGGGGAAGAAAAAGGAAGCTTTTCTCTGTCTTTCTAGTTACCTGAAGTGTATTTACAGGGTTTCCAGTTCAGTACATTACACTTGCTGTGTTTGTCCAAAAACTACCTGCGTTTTGCTAAACCTTTTCTGTGTAGTTGTCCATCTTTAGGTCTGACAGTAACATGCTGCTTTAAGCAATTAAAAAACTTGTTTAAGTCAGCTTAACGCACTGGAACATGCTTCATTCATGAATGTCCAAAACACTGTTACCTGAATGATGGTCTTTATGTTTTTAATATATAGTTTGAAATGAGTCTCAGGAGTTTGTTGTCTTTGAATAAATATTTTGGGTGCATTAAATGAAATAATCCTGAATTCCCACGCTGTAAGCTAATTGCCGTAGACTTCAGGTGGGTTATTGAGGGCTGGGACGTGTAACAATCAAAATATATGTTGTTTAGATGTAAATCCAGCATGCCTGCTCGGCAATGTACTTACCTGGGGGAAGGCTGGCGCTAAACATGACTGAAAATAGTAACTTGAGCACTGTCAAACGTGCAGAACTTGGTTTCTCAATCAGATTTTAATTCAAATTAAGGAAGAGATGAACTGCACAAAAAGCTTTTTTTGGCCTGAATAATAAATCTGCTGCCAGTAATTAAACCCACTAATTAAAATGTACAGAATCCCTTTGAGGCTGAACTGAGAAGGCCAGTTCCGATTTTGAGCTGCAGAACGGTATTTAATGTTGTGCTTGGGGCTTCTTGTGAACCTCCTTTGAGGATGGCAGGTCTGCATTGCCATGTCCCTTGGGATGGGAGGGGGTGATTTGCCCAGCTGCCAGTCCAGTCTACTCTGGAAGCAACGGCCTGGGAAACCTTTGGTAGTTGCTGGACACAGTGGTCGAGGAGGGTGTGTGAGGAGGTAAATGGATGGGTGAGGAGATGAGTGGATGCATGCATGGAGAGATGGGTGGGTGTGTGAGGAGGTAAATGGATGGGTGAGGAGATGAGTGGATGCGTGCATGGAGAGATGGGTGGGTGTGTGAGGAGGTCCATGCAGCAGCTGTGCAGTGCTGTGAGTGCCTCGGCCAGCTCTGCAGGATCCCCCCTTTCCTTTGTGGGTGACTTCCACATCTATAAGCACAGTGTGCCAGGTAGTAGGTGATTATTACCATCCTACTTCTTCTCAGTACAGTTACTCTCATGTGCTCCTGTCAGTTGTGCTCCTTCAGCCTCCCCATGTTTCCTTCAGTCAGTGAGACTCGAATATGAGCTTGACTTGGCCAGGTTGTGGTATGTCAGAGCTGGGCTGCAGGCTGAGGATGAAAATGGCTGCATCTGTGAAGCACTCCTGAGTGGCATTATTAGTCTCATTGTGGTGCTCTTGCTCCTAAGCTCCTGCAGTGTCTGTGTAGATGAGGACTGCACAAGCATTTATTGTTCTTGGAAGCAGAGCGAGGACAACTGTCACCCACAAGTGCTTCTGAGATGTCTGTTCTTCAGGCTTTAATTCCACACTCAAGAGAAGACCTGATGTGTGGGCCATCCATTGCAGTTTCCTTTCACAAGCCCTGGGGCACTCATGCTTGGATAATCATCGGTGTAAGATGCTTCCTTCTTGGAAAATAAGTAGAGGGAATGGTTATTTGGAATAGCTCTGAGTCAGTCAGGATCTGTTCACAGCAAAAGGACTGGTGTGTTCTGAGAAACAGAACATGCTCTTGGGTCCTCTTCACATTTTAGAACCAATTTAGTGTGTAATAGGATTGCAGTTATAAGAATGGACTTTCTGTCCAACAGTTTAACAGTTCCTTCCCAGCTTCCTAAAGCAGATGAGTACTACACTCATTCTGGAGGTGGGAGGCAGTAGGAAAGCAATTGTGTGGCTGCATTTTCTGGAGCCACGTGCTTAGCTGAGATCTTCAGACCCTGTAAATGTTTGTAGGAACACAGTCAAATAGCACTGGCAGAAGTCATGGATGAGTCTCTGTCAAAGCTGGCAGTGGAAAATTGGGAATCCTTTGAACATGAATATGGCTGGTGACTCCTGGAGGTATTTTGGGGATGGATTGGTGTGTGAGCTGCAGGAATGCCTGGCAGTGCTGGTTAACAACCTCCACTGCTCACAGACACAAGGGTTAACCACAGCAGCGTGTTAGTTGTCCGACTGTTGCCTTCACTGGTCGTATGATGACTTGTCATCCCATTTTGCACTAAGTTAATTGTGTTTAAAAGAGATCTAATTAGGAACCCGGGAGTGCGTGATGCTGGAGCTCATGTTTTGTTCTCGTTCAGGACCTGAAATCCAGGCAATTATCAGAGTCACCAAACGTCACGACTGCCAGCCCCAAGCAATGAAAAATCATGAGTCAGAAATCTTTTCCTTCATGGCCCTAAATTACAAGGCTGGATTAAAGTTCATGACAGGAAAATAAAATCATATGAGGGATTGAAATGTATCTCTTAAGTACATTTCTTACCCAGAGGTTCTTATCCAGTGGTTTGCTTCAAGAGGGTACAGCTTTCAGAAGAATATTCAATAGCCACAACTTGCAGTAAAGTTGTGGAAGGCAGCAATGTGGGAAACTGTTGATTTATTTTTAAGTCAAGAAGTAAATTCCTGATAGAAGCCCTTTTCCTGTCTCCTGTTTAAAATATGGCACCAAAGTGTTGGCAGATGGAAGGGACTGGCTGTTGACATGGAGCTGTTCTGGACCTCGTTCCTGGAGTGACCTGAGTGTCCACACAGTGAGCTGTTCCTATCATTTGCAGTTGGAGTGGCAGCCTTCCACTTCTCCTGAAAATCAACCCCATTAGGAAGAGATGTCTTATGCTTTGGGGTTTTTAGGTGATTCTCTTGAGTCTTCTAAATAGCACCATACTTATAGGTTTGACAGAAAATTCAGTTTCTCTCCTTTTTTTCCTTAGCTCACAGAAATGTAACTTCTGTAGAAATGGATGTAAATAACCATTGTTCACCCTGACAGTTTATCATCCTAATTCTTTGCTTTCTAACCTCAGCATGGATATTAAAAAAAATGTAGTTAATCTGCTATGGAAATGCAAGTCTCTCACAAACAAAACACAACCCTCACTGTATTACTGCTCCTGTTTGGAAAACAAACATTTTTGGTGATGAATAATGCTTAAAAAACAGTTTACAGAGATTCTACCTCACTTGATAAACACATTAGCCCAAAGAGAGTACCAGAGATGATCATAATCAAGGGGAGGCCAATGTTTCTTCACACAAATTTAAAAGGTTTTTGATTGTGCTCCAAAGATGATGCTTAAAGTAATGAGTGGTGTTCTGTAGAGAGGAGAAGAGAGAGTCAATACTAGCTCTGATTAAACAGTTTTTTAACTGCATGTGTTTTTAGTTTGAGAAGATGAAACATAATCTGTCATGCTTTTTAGAGAACTCTGCTCAATATTTTACTTTAATCCTGGGCCATTAATTGGATCATATTCAATATTTAGAGGAATGTCAGTAATTTTGATTAACCCTTAAGGGTGTTTAATGGAAACACTTCCATTTCCTGAAGGTTATTGAGATCCTTGAAGCTTAATGGTCAGGATTTTAAAGGGGAGCAGTCACCAGCTTCCAGCCCTGATGTTTCCTGGCCAGAACTATCTTTAAAAGTGAGGAGTGTCCATTTAGAGACTTTTTTATTTTCTAGGCAACTACCGAACAAAGGATGTTATGTGGCAGAACCAAACCCAGGTAGGTGGCTGAGGGCAAAGGAGCAGATTTGGGTGTCTCCTCTGCAGTCCTTTGCTGCTGGGCTGACACACAGGTACAGCTGAGTCTCACCTGCTCAGCATGCCCTTCTCAGTGGCACAGCATGCTGGAACCTGGCAGTAAAACTGCTTTCAAACTGGGCAGATCTGTCATTATCTGGGGAAAGCAACAGCAGTTGGAAGTCGTGAGCATCTGACGTCTTCTTTATCATCCTCCTCTTTTCACTTGTTCTTAATTTCTTCAGCCTCATGAATTCGATTCCCTGTGCACAGTTTCCATGAAAACAAGGTATTTAGCTGCAGTATTTCTTCCTGTCTAAGGAAAATCTCATCTGCTAAATATACCCCATAAATCATCCTTCCACAGGCCTTCTTCTCTCTGCTCACCACCCTTCCAGCCCCAGAGCTCTCATTTCAGACTCCATTAAGTCACGTCAAGATTTTCCTAGAGGCAAAAAAGAAGAAAACCAAACTCGTTCACCTGACTCTGCAACAAGTAGCCGTGGTGAAGTCATAAAAAAGTGACATTTTCCAAAGCTTGGTGGGCACCATGATTATTTGAACTGTAAATCAATAATATATCTGCACTTAATTAAATTCAGCAGTGGATACTGCAGGGAATGTTCCTCAAAACTGGCTGGAGTTAATGGATTTTTAGATGGCTGCTGTTGGTGGAACCATACAAGGGAATTACCTGAGCTGTGCTGATTTATTCCCAGTGCAGTGCTGCTCTTCCAATCTGTGTGTAATGAGTTGCTGCCTTTTTATCTGGTGGGTTTTTGTCTGTGTTTGCTGTAGGTACAGTGAGTTTAGGCAGGCTCAGATCACACTGGGCTGTGCCCAGAGAGCTCACACTTACTGACCTGGATGCACACATACCTGTATCCAAACGACCTGCATGTGCACAAGGCCACCTGCTGATGCCTTTCTGATGTCAGTTAGTGTCCTTTTAGAGTGTTAGATTCCAAAGAGGGGAAAATGGTTCATTTTCTTTAAAATAGGTGAATAACTTCATTTCCCTGTCCCATAGGTTAACCCCTAGGAGAATTTGTGTGTTATCTCTTTAGGCAGCAATCTGAGCTTTGCACTTTGTGACTCCAGGGGATTGCCTATTTTTGGTTTATCAAAAAGCACCATTGCCAAGGGCCTCTCCTGTCCTTTAAAGATTCTGCAGCTTGAGGTGACTCTTCTCCCAGTGTGTTCAGGGTGTGTTAAGTTTGCTTTCCAGCTGAGCTTGGCTGTGGGCAGTGCTGGCAAGGTGCAGTGAGATCAGTGCCTGCCTTGGACACAGAGCCAAGGGAAAGCCCTGTGGGGCTCTGCCAGGCAACTTGTCCCTGGCTGCTGTGCTGTGCCACTCTCGTGCTGCTCACTGTGCTGGAGAGATGCTTTCCTGCTGTCCTGTGCTACCAAGGTGACATCCCCACAGTCCCCCGGGTTGGGATGGGATGGCACCTCTGTCTCAAGACGTGCTGCCCTCCTTGGATGTTTTGTGGTTAACTGGACAAAAGGCACCGTGTGTTTGAAAGCACGTTCAGATCAAGTCAGACATCACTGGAAAGTCAGCTGTTCTGGAAGAGTTCTCGTAGAAAGCAACCTGGAGAAAAGAGCTGGAGACAACCAGTGCTGTAAGTCTCAGTCAGGGGGTGAAGTGGAGGAGAAGGAAGTGCCCTGAGGGTCACACCGGCAGGGCTGTGACCTGCACCCTGATCTGAGGGTGCCTTACACATAGAACTGGGCATGCATTAATGTCTCATGCTGTGGAACATGCATTTTGAGGCAGTCCAGCAGTGAAGCCCAGTGTCTCTGTTGTTACCCAAGTCCTTGTGATGAGAAGTGTCACAATGGACTAATTAAATATTGGGGCTTTAGAGACAGTCGCTGTGGAAATTGCCCTCAGTGGCAGCTGCAGCATTTATTAATAATTAAAGCTGTGCCTGCTGTGCTTTTCACTAAATTTGTTTCATTAATATTTTATTGTTTTAAAGAAATAAAAAGCAGTGGAGGTGGGAAGAGGCCCTGTTTCCTAAGCAACAACAATGCACTTCTTTGCAGTTATTTTTAAAGGCAGGTTGCTTCGTTTAGGATTTGGAACCAGTTATTGCTGCATTGCTCCAGGCGTCTGGAAAACCGCTTCTCTTTTTTCATTTCCTTTATTTCTAATTGAAAGGCAGAGCAAAGCACTCGCTGGGTTATGAGCTGTTGGGGTGGTTGCTGGAGGGGAGGTAGGACGGTGATGTGAAGCATGTCCCGTGCTGCCATCCCTGTGTTCTCCCCGGGCTGCGTTGTCCCCGTGCTGTCCCTCATGGGCACTGCTTGGCTCGAAGCGGAGCCTCCTGCTCGTGTCAGACCACAGGCACTGCCTCTGCTGCCCGCAGGTGTCCTGTGATCACTGAGGAGGTTCCTGCTGGGAGCTGATGGCTGACAGGGTCACGCAGAGATGTTCCATGAGTGCTGGTCCTCCTTCCAGGGAACAGGCTGTTGTCCCTGATGGCATGGTTGTGTTCTGGGGCAGTAGTTCTGGTGGGAGCTCGTGTCCAGAGAGAACAGGAGTCTGCCCAAGCTGAGGTCACTGGCACTGCCCTGTTCAGAGAGTCTGCTTTTTGCTGCTCCTCTGGGTTCAGCCCAGGCAGGACCCTCTAGGCAGGAGGTTTTCCTGTGTGGCCCTCAGCCTTGCCTGGGACTCGGATTAGTTTCCAGGGTCTGAGCAGTGCAGAGAGGTGTTTTTAAGATACAGGCATTCAGGTGTCGTGGAATTTGGAGCCTTCAAGTCCAGTAAGGAGAAGAGTCTTCAAGAAATGTTCAGCACCTGACAGTGTTGGGCATAAAGTGCAACAACAAAAAGCTGCCTTCTCTCAAAATGAGCCACTGAGTGTTGGGTGAGAGGCAGAGAGTATCGGAGCAGATGGAGAGCCATGTGTTACTGTAAGGAGCATTTCATGTGGCAATTGGAGCTGTGGTTTCCCTCGGGGCTGCCCTACTGTCAGCCGGTACGGGAGAGCTGGGTGCTCATGCAGACCCTGTGGTGGCTGCCCTGCCCGCGTGGGCTGTGCTGGGCACACCTGGCACTACGGCTGGATCGTCTCTTCCCTGTGAATGAATCCTTCCCCGCTTTGTATGAGCAGTGTTGACTGTGTGAGTCATCTGCAGTCTCACTTGAAAAGCCGATAGACGGGGAAGGCTTATTTTTTGTTCTGGTTTGTTGTTGTTATTTTTTTTTTTTTTTAATTTGTATTTCTTTTGTTTCTCTTTCCTGCAGCAGGTTACACGAGAGCTGGATAGATTTCTGCTGCAGTCTTGCAAGGCTGACATAGTGCAGTGCAGTGCTTTGCTAGAGCCATCAGGGTGTGTTACAGGGTGGTTCTGTGAGTCTGTGATGTGCACAGTGGGGTGAAATTACTGGGAGATTTCAGTTTGTTTATATACTGCCATTGTCTGTACATTATAAGGTGCCTGCAGCTGCAGATTAGACAGAGGCTGGCATGCAGTGATTTTGATTGCAGTGTGTCTGTCCCTGTCCCGCAGGCGTGGTGGAGGCGTGCCTGCTGCACATGCTGAAGCGCAGGGCTGCCGGCTTCCTGCGCTCGGACAAGGTGGCCGCGCTCTTCACCAAGGTGGGCAAGACGTGTCCCGTAGCTGGAGACGTGTGCAAGAAGGTGCAGGAGCTGCAGCAGCAGGTGGAGAGCAGGTGAGGCCGAGGTCTGTTTGCCAGCAGAGTTCATGCAGTGTGTGTGTGTGTGCAGCGTGCTGGGGACACACAGACTGCTCGGTGAATTCAGGGGCCTGCCTGGGCCACGTGTCTCGTTCGTGGCTGTAACAATAAGGCAGATGTTTGTGTTTGATCGAGCTGGCAGCAAGCAAAGGGACAGAGGTGGGGAACTGGGGCTTTGGTGTTTCATTGTGCTTCTCAATACAGCGGAGCAGCATGTCCAGCCCACACACAGCAACAGGAGTGACTAATTACTGGTGATTTCAGAGGCCCCACAGTCGGGGTATGGTGGACCAGCTTGGTGGGAAGGGAGTGGGTGGAAAGAGGAACCAAGGAACAGGCTTACTGGAAAAGCTGTTTTGGCATGCTTCTGTCAAACCAGTGACAGATTTGTGGGTATCATGGTAGGAATAGTTGAGTTAATGGATACAAAGACTGATGGGAGGAAGGATGATATAGGAAAGCCTTTAAGTACGTACTGGACTTGAGCACAACAGAATGTGTCCTGGAGTCAAGGACTGGAGATTACTGGAAGTCTTAAATTTCTTGCTGCTGGTGAGTAGTGCAATTAAAATTTTCCATGTGGTTCTGCTAATGGAGTCACAGTGCATGAGGCTGTGGGAGGAGTGTCTTGTCCTGTAAGCTCAGGACAGGACCATTTCTTCTTCTGTTTGTAGGCACTGCTGAGCCCTGGGAGCTCTTTGTACGTCATAGGAACTTTTAGCCTCTGATCAACTTGCTGTAAGAAGGGTTTTGCCAAGAGAGCTTAACTTCTTATTCTGTTGAAGTCTTCAATTATTGACAGTTGTTTAAATTAGCATTTATATTTCTGTTTCATTTTCTGGCATTTATCTTTATTAGACTTGTAGTTATCAGGCTTTGTTATGTGGTATGTGCAGGTATGTACCTATTTTTGACATATTTTTAATTGTGTGCCTACTGATACCGACTGGCATTTTATTAATTTTATTTTTTTAAATGTTGGGAAGAAGGATGCTTTCTGTTGAAAATGCAGCAGCCTCTCCTGGTTAAGAGTCCACACAACCCCCTCTCTGACTACTAGAGATTTTTGTCTGTGTCCTCTGACAGAAAGGAGCAAATTACTTAAATTCTATGGGTTCTCTTGGAATTTTGTGGTTTTCAGCTATTAACAGCCACAACTGTGGAAAATAGGCACAGTAAAGAGACTAATGGGAGGTGTGCAGGGGGTGGACTCGCTTCACTGGGTGTGTGAAGTGAGACAGGAGGGCTGGAGCTGCCTCACTGGTCCTGAGGCAGTGGCTCAAGAAAGCCCCTGTTCAGGATGCAACCAAACACACTCGAATTGCTCAGATGTCAGTGCTGTCGTGTGTTTCTTGCCTTGTAGAGGTGCTTTCATGGCCTCCTGGAGGACTAGGGACTCTGTAAATGCAGAGAGGAATTACAGATGCCACCCCAAACGAATGTATTTGCTCTTTGTAACTGAGCAGTTTCCTGAAAGGGAACCTGAGTTCTAGTAAAGAACGGGATCGTTTGAGAACATGGATTTTCTGCTGCACATTGTTGATGTCACAGTTTCTTTCCTCATTGAGGCAAAGCTGAACTTTCTGCTATTTTAAGGGGAAAATTTTCTGGGAAAGAGATGAAGAAGGTTGCTGTTCCCCTCTCAGCCCAATGCAGAAAGCCAAGGCAGTGTGCAGTGCTGTGCAGCAGGAGGCTGTCCCTGGGAACTGGATAATCTTACAGACTCCTCCTGTAAATAACTCAGAACTGAGGCGTCCTGAATCCTTAGAGCCGTGATTTTCAGCAGATCCCTGATGGTGATCTGACTAGAACTCCACACCCGGAGGGAGTGAGTGCTCACCCAGTGGTGCAGACAGCTCGTACACAGATACTGCACTGGCCACACACACAAACACCTCCCCACGTGGAGAGCTCTCTGGGAGAAGGGCAGTTGGAATTCTGACTACTTTTACTTTATCACCTTCTGCAGGAAAAATCAGCCAAGTGGTCAGGAACCCCTCAAGAGGCAGGGATCAACCACAAGCAAAACACCTGTCCTGACACCTCAGGCCATCAAACACATCTGGGTTCGGACAGCCTTGATTGAGAAAGTGCTCGACAAGATTGTGCAGTACATCGTTGATAACTGCAGGTAAGAAAAGAAGCAGAAACAGGGATTTGTTGTACTGATGCTGAGTTTAGGTATCTGCAACAAGGGATTTCATCAAAAGTATTCAGACTTCTGTGATGCAGAGTTCTGGTCAGATGAAAACCAGTTGCAGAGACATTTAGAAAAAAATGTACTTCTGTTTTTAATCACTGATGGTGTTTCAGGCTTACAAAAATTGTTAACAGACATTCAGCTTTCCAGAAATCAGCTAAAAACCCTAACTTCAAGTATATTAGGTGTGCAGATTCTACTGGGACCTAGACTTAGTGGAATAGGAATGTCTTCTAAAAGGTCATGAGTTGAAAATAATCCTTTGGAATTTTAGGATTATCAGGGAGGAAAATGCCCTTTGTAGATGAAAGAAGGGAAAATTAAAACAGAAGGAGTTAATGACATAAAACCTTAAGGTTGTGAAAACAGGTTCTTTGAATCGTGTTTCCTTTTTAGAAAAGTCAAGCTCTGTGTAAAATGAATCTTCCCTTGCAAAACCAGAGAAATGCATCAGTGCTTTATGGATGTATTCCACGGGGACTTCCTAAGAGGAAAAGACAAGTTCTCTCTGTTCTGTCATTGCTTCCTGCAGCCCAGGATCAGCTGTGGTTTCCCAAGGGGTGGCTCTTAACTCTTACCTTCCTGCCCTCCCATAACTGATGATACAAAATACTTATGGGGCACACTGGGGACCATTTGCCATAAAAAGATAAAAGGAGGGACCCTAAAGCTTGATGTGGTCCCAGAAAGGTATGTGTGTATCTGCTGCCACTGCAGTTTGTTTGCAGGGGTCCTCCTGTCATTGCACACTGGGGGCCACGTTCTTGCCCATCAAAGCCCAGGGGTCTGAACAAGGACGAGAACTAGGGCAGAGCAAATTATTTTCACAGTATTTTCCAAGTTTGCATTACGGTTTTCCTTGTCATCAGCTTTATTTACATGATGTATCTTCCCACTAAAAAGCAAGAGAATGGAAGAAAGGTTTTTGTGCTGTTCAAGCAAACTGTTGCTCTGGGATGTGCAATCCCAGCTTGGTTTATGAGCTGTGTGCAGAAGAGACAGAGGGAGGGTTGGCTGTGTCGCAGAGACAGAGTTAATGAAAGCATTTCAGTCTGCTGTCTCAGTGTCTGTGGATACATGGGCACAAGGTTTTTTAATTTCTTTTCCGTATAATCCACCAGGAGACAAGAGAGTTTGCTCTCAGTTTTTCCATTACTGTGTGTTGGAGATGTTCACCTTGCTGCCTTCCCCATCCTTTAGATGAGTTAGGATCAGGTCCTTAATTGCAGGGCTGTGATTTTGAGAACCTGATTTGGTGAATAAAACAAACCTCTTCCTAAGGCTTGTTGCCATGCATCTTTGACATTACTGCTCAAGTGCTCCATGGTCATATCCTTCAGCTGTTCTGTCCTAGAGGAGGAGCAGGTGCTTTAGAGTTTGAGCCCCATCTAGTGAACAGACCATAGAGGACAGTGGCTTTCAAGAAATGTGGGGGTTTGGATTTTTTGGCCATGTGGTTTTGTAAGGCAGCTTTGCCTGCTGTAGTGTCAACTTTGGTGTCATTGCAAGAGCCGCTGTTTGTCACAGTTCATTGTTCTTGACAATGTTTCGAGGCGATTCCTCACAGATGAAAGAGGTGTTTAGGAATGTGTGGATTGTTTTGTCTCTGTGGAAAATGGACAAAATTGCTTGCAGAGAGTTATTGTTTGTCTCCGTATTGCAGTAGTGCCCAAAGCCCCAGATCAAATATACTGGGTAAACACACTGAGCACAAGGCAAGCTCCTGCCTCTCCAGAGCTCAGTTAAAAAGTAGATGAGGCAGAATGAGCATATTGAGGGGAGGTGACTTGCCTGGAATTATCACAGCTGATCGGGCAGAATATGCATCCAAAGTAGGGATGGTGTTCAGCTGGTTAAATGTAGAAGTCTAGGGTGTAGGTTTATTGAATTAGTGGTTCCAGGCTCCTTTTATGCTCCATGGAAATCTAGTCAATGCTATTGATATAATTTAGGAAATTATCTGCTTCCAAAGCAGATGTCTAAAATAAACTAAATTTAACTAAATAAACTAAATATCAGGTCAAGGGACTCATCCTACCAGGAGGCATAAGAGCTTTCAAAAATACCAACCAGTGTTTTTAATTGGGCTCTCATCTTTTATTCCTAGTAAATATTATGAGAAAGAAGCTCTACTTGCAGATCCTGTTTGTGGCCCAATACTGGCTTCTCTTCTAGGTGAGTTCTTGCAAAGTTACTTCTTATGCTGAAGAAATAAATTGTTTCTTAAAACATTTTGTATTATAACACTGTAACAAGAGGTAATTTTTCTCTCTCACATGTAGTTTAGCTATTTATAACAGAGCCACACAGAAGATGTTGTTGCTTATGAGCCCAGTACAGACTGGTCATCTGGTTTTATTATTAATTTTTGGTTGGATCAGAATACAGAATGGGAGTCGCTTTTTACTGCTTGCTGGCAGATTGTAACTGCTAATGCTGCTGTGGCAGGGCATTGTGGCCTGCAGGAATCCTTTGACACAGCCCTAGGTAATAGGGCTGATCTGTGTTGTCTGTGTTACGGGCTGATCCCGTATGGTCAGAGATCATTAATATTCACTGGGCTGGAGAGGGAAGTCTCACTGTCAGGGCTCAGCCAGCAGGATAGGACCATGTGTTTGTGAACAGGCTCAGGTGGTTTCTCTCCTGGCTGTTTTCCCAGTTGGTCCGTGTGCTCTGGAGTACACCAAGCTGAAGACAGCCGATCACTACTGGACAGACCCTTCGGCCGATGAGCTGGTCCAGCGGCACCGCATCCAAGGAGTCCACGGCCGCCAGGACTCTCCCTCCAAGCGCCCAGCCCTGGGAGTAGGTATTTACTTTGTAGCTGTTTCTGAGTTAAGTACGGACTGATAGTAAAAACAACCTCACGAGGGAGAGATCTGAATCTGGAACAACCTTTCTGTTCTGTAATGGAGCCTTTATCACAGATTAAAAGTCCATTTGGGCCCCAGTGTCCTCTTTATCTCAATGTAGAAAAGCTTGAGATCCAGCCCTAAATTCTGTGGCTTTTGACGGTTGTGATCTGGCCAGGTAACTCACTAGAAATTCTGAGCTGCTGTGGTCAGGCCTGAGTAAGAGTCCAGGTGATTTCTCTGCAAAGTCTCCTGGCTCTACAGGAGTTCCACTCTGTGGAGACTGGTCTCAATGGCACAGTTCCTGGGTTACTGCCCTGCCCGTCCCTGTCCCACCTGACCTGCCCTGCCCTGCCCTGTGTGTGTCTGTGCCAGATCCGAAAGCGCCATTCCAGCGGGAGCACGTCAGAAGATCCCTTTGCTGCTTCGGCCAGGGAGTATGTGGAGTCCCTGCACCAGAACTCCCGAACACACCTCCTGTACGGCAAAAACAACGTCCTGGTCCAGCCGGTGAGTGGGGGAGTGCTGGGCCAATGGCTGCGACTTGAGAGGTCAGTGGGGTGGGAGAGGGTTCGACTCAGGCTTGTCAAGGGCTCAGGGCAGTGCTGCCTTGACTCTGTTATGCTGAGGTAGGTTAAGACGTGACAGATGCTTTCACTGCTGCCCTGTGTGAATGTGCAGTGGGCCTGTAGGCAGGAACAAACATACTGGACCGTATTTCATAAACCCAGTGACTGTTGTGATTTTCCCCCTCTTTCTAGTAGTAATATTAAATACCAGTATTTGTTAAGGTTGTTAAGGTTTCCCTCAGCAGTTCCCAGATAATGCACCTCTGAAATTTATGGGGCATAGGAACTCTGGAACATATATTTTGTACAGGTACTTTGTGCACTTTAGTCAGCTGGGTTTTCTGTTTGTTGCTTCTGTGAACAGAAAGATGACCTGGAAGCAATTCCTGGATATCTCTCCCTTCATCAGTCAGCAGATAATTTGACATTAAAATGGACTCCAAACCAGTTGATGAATGGAACCCTTGGAGATTCAGAGCTGGAGAAAAGGTATTCATTACGCTCAGGAAAGATGGGAAGCATTCACAATGTTTGTTCCTTGTATACTTGACACCATGGCATAAGTGTAACAAGGCTGATTTAATGGAAGGGCTTCTGAATAGTGTCTGAATTGGTGTTGGACAGCTTGGGTTCTCTTCCTGTTTTGTCATAGATGAAGCAACTTTCCAAGGGTCCTGTCCTGCATTTGCATATAACACCTTTTCTAAAGGAAAACAAGAGCCTGCTCTTCGATGTCTTCAGGAGAAAAGGCCCAACACAACCTTCTATCATTAGAATTCTTGTACATCCTTTCAGAGGGTCCCAAATCACTTGGCACCTGTGGCTGATCTCAGCCTCAAAAGGGAGACCTGCAGTGTCATTGTCTTTCGTTAGATCAGTTATTCATTGGATTGGGGATTTTGCTTCAGTAGGAAGACAGGTAGTCTTGCACCAGGCAGGTATGCCTCCTCAGGGAATGCTTTCTTCAACCCCAGGAGCATGCTCTGAGATGCTTAATCCACACCATTCTGTTTCTGAAACTTCATGTGTATTTTTCATAGCACATTAATGGATATGGAAAATACAATGTTTCCTGCACTTTCCTTCCCTCTTAGTGTTTACTGGGACTACGCATTGATAGTGCCACTGAGCCAGATCGTCTGCATCCACTGCCATCAGCAACGTAAGCACAACCCGTCCTCTCCTGGGGTTCCCCAGAGCCCCTTCCTGCCAGGGGAGTGTTAATGCTGCTGCCAGTTTATGTGGTGCCTCTTAGGGCATTGTTATAAACAGA